TCTGTAGCGAATGGTATGCTCTAGTAGGAGAGATTGCTATTAGATGGGCTCACCTAACAGCGGCACGTCCAGTACAAAACATGCCCAAACACGATGTACTTGTGAGGCATCCACTTACAGGTGGGCCCACAAGCAGTGGCGGCTAGCAATCGAGGCCAGTGATGTCGACAGATCAAACTTATATATGTATGTAAACATATACACTTAAAACTTAATTAGGATTAGTTTGCTAAACACATTTTATGTTGTCACTTGACATCATAAAATACATATACATTCGCCACTGCCCACAAACACCATCTATAACCCAACGCAACGAGGCTTCTAGAACCTATAGGAGTGTGGTTGATCCACGGCTAAATTCAACACAACCTTTTATCACATATGTTTAACCTAACAAATAGACGAATAGGTATTCAATGAGGTAGGTTTAGCATGCGGTATTTTTTAGGTTGTCACTACTCACTTATAAATGATGAAGAAGAAGGATACTAGGATAGTGCATGAATGTATCTTTGTGTCAATCTGTAACAGGAAAATTGACTAACATTTAGTTAAAAAAAGTAGTTGCAACAAACTCAGACAAATCCTTTGAAATGTTGTTAATATGCATGTTCCCGCATTGCATCTCACATGTCAATCCAACGGCTTACCTCCTTGAACGCTTTAGGTGCAATGACATTAGTTGTGGCAAAAAAAGCATAAACATTACCGTTTAAGGATGTCGTAGAACACATGATGCTATCCATTGTGAAAATTGTCTGCTCTTTAATTCCTAAACTCCTGTTCGTTGCCTCCAACTCCGCCCCTCCCCCTCCCACCAAGCACGCTGAGAAAACCAACCAAACCATTGTATAATCAACTGTTCATGTGATATATATAAAAACTAATAGTATCAAGTGCTACCTCTGTACATTAATATAAGACGTTTTAGCAGTTGTAGTTCAATTTGAACTGCAAAAACTTCTTACATTAGTTACTTTTTTTGGAAAGGAGGATAAATCCCCGGCCTCTGCATTTGAACGATGCATGCAGCCATTTTATTAATTAATCACAAATATCATACAAAGTAATACATCAGCCAGCCTGAAGCCACCATCTAGGCAACACCTATTGCTAGTCCTATACCCTTGATGAGGGTGTGCCGACTATCTGGGCCAAATACCAAACGAACATCGCACTAAAACCTAACATCTATAACCAGATGCCCAGAAAATTGGGGGAGAATTTCACTTCCCCGTTCTCTGCACCAACTAGGGATGCATACGGCCTTTTAAGTATACAAAAATGTCTTACATTACTTCAAACGTCTTACATTACTTCAAACGTCTTACATTACTTTAGAGATGGGAGTAGCCAAAGTAGTCTCTAGGTAATGTGTAATTGGTACTGACTTTGCATGGTTTAAGACATTTTTTAGCTTTGTATATTAGGAGAGCTGGTGTGTAATTAAAGCCTAATACTTATGAATTTGGTCAAACTAGTAAGCGTGCACATGCAACGCACGTCTCAAACGTAAATCTGAGATTCACATAGTATAAAATAAAAATAAATGTTGCAAAAAAAAATATAAATCAAATGGAAGATAATATATATAATTTTTGGTTAAGTGTACTACCAAAAATTCCTAATATCTACATAGCAAAATATATTTCAGTACTAATTTAGATCAAAATTATATATACTTTTTGTTATGTGTACTACCAAAAGTATAAAGCTATCTATATAATGGATAATAGGAAATTAATACAAGATGATATGTGACTACAGCGACTTCTATATGTGCAAAAATAGAAGACGGAAGGAAAAGTATTCTAGTGTATTTGTCAAGCTTAACCTTATCAAGCTTTCAGGCATGTCAACTTCTAAATTACAAAAACATGATGAAACCTCAAATAAGAAAAGTAATGTAGACTATTCAACCTCCCCTGCATGCATCGTTATTATCTTACAAAAAACAGAAGGAAAACTAATTATACCTCCAAATGTTTACACTACATAGGAAAGGACTTGATCTCCGAGCATTGTTACTTTCACCAAGTATGTGAAACTTCTTCCAACAAACTTTGGAAGAGTTAAACCAAATAACCTTGCTTGTCAAATATGGAATTTATAGATTAGCAGTTATCACAATTTTATTTTCAAAAATTTAAAAAATATATTTTCTTCTACAATGTATCAAAAATTTTAGGAGAAGGGTCACAATGTTTACTAAGCCCAATGTTTTCCAACTACTTTTTTTAATCAGCGTATCCCTCATTGAGTTCCTTTTGCTACCTCCTATAAAAAAATCTTGAAAGCATATATTGCACAACGTGGAATAATAATTAAACATACCTAGAGTCAAACCTAACAATTTAGGTGCATACATACTTCCATTTTCTTCGCCATTATCTTTTGGCGCATCTTGTGTTTGCATGAACAATCAACTTCAGTTAAAAGGTTCTTAATGAAATGCTGCAACATATTTCTTGATATTGGGATAGCTATGTAAAGCAGGAGCATAAAACAAGAAGTAAGTTCTCAATGAAATGCACATGAATAAATATAAGAACTTACATTGTCATGAAAAAAATCCGACTGAATCCAATTTATATGATTTCTCTGTAACAGTATATACGGCAGTTGTATTACAATATATCCTTTGAAGGATCTATCTGTTAGAACTCAGGCTGGGCATGCGGTTAGGCCGAACCGTTTGGTTCGGTGCTTCGGGTCATCTTAAAATTCGGTTTCCTAAATTTACTGACAATTCGGTCCTACCAAAAATCAATGACTGAGACTTCGGTGGACCGATAATTCGGTTCGTCCCTCGGTCACAACCGAAGAGCACTGAGATATTTGTTATGGATCAAGAAATCAGGATTCAATTGCTCAAAAAAGAAAATGAAATCGGGAGTCAATAGAAACAACAAACAACCAGCAAACATTGTGTTGGGAATCCTCGGTACAATTACTGGATTGGTATGCAATTATTTTAAATTGACACATGAGCACATGAAGTCTGTGTGTAAAGTTTTCTGTAAGAATGGACTATATATTCTGATTTCCAACCCCTCGTGCTAGGCTCCACCCACCTTAATTCCAGGCTAAGCGACATCATCCGTAAACAGAATCAGACCAAAATAAGGAAATTCTAATCAAGATGATGGTGTTACCTCTTGATAAGGTCCAGTTTAATGCATCTGGCGGTAGAAATAACCCTGGAAAGAGAGACATGCATCTTCACTTCTTCAGTATCCCTCTGATCATAAGTTGTAAGCCATGAGTGCTGCATAGTTCTTATATACGTGTCATATCAAATTATACACTTAGAGTACAAGCATTGGCAACCTAAGATAATCTCAAACCTAGAATTTTAGATTGCTTGAAGTCCCAAGATTCTTATTTAATTTATAATGTACTCCCTCCGGTCCTTTTTACTCTGCACATTGGTTTTGCCGAAAGTCAAACTTTGCTAAGTTTGACCAAATTTATATTAGAAATTATTAGCATCTATAATATTTAACAAATATAATATGAAAATATATTCCAAGATGAATCTAATGATATTGGTGTTGTTATGTGAATGTCTATAATTTTTTATATAAACTTGGTCAAAGTTGGATGAGATTGACTTCAGACAAGCCTAATATGCAGAGTAAAAAGGACCGGAGGGAGTACGTGCACCCACTGAACATACACTTTACGAGGGCAGACAAACTTATGCATGTAGTCAAATTCGTCCATCTTGGTCTAAATATTAACCTCATTATAACTATGTAGGTCTAAACAAATACACTCTTACAATCAGTCTCATTTCCTCCTTAATCTATATATTGGAATGATTTTCATGCCCCAGATCACATGTATTTGGAATTATGAAATGATTAATTAATAAGCGCCTGGAATAGCAATTTCTTCCTCTCCCAAAAAATGTTTCTAGTACGCATGAGAGGAGGATTGGTTGGTAGATGAAATTGCAGATCAAAAAAACCTGACGGACCACCAAGTGCCAAAGGTACAATATTAGTCATGCAGAGCCCAGAATACCACCAAATCAAATTAAATATTCACCTGATTGATTTGTGATAGACCTTTGATGCCCTCGACGGTGTACGTAGGGAGAACTGGAGGAGGTCCTCGAAGGCCCAGCAAGACAATGGCACCTCCAGCGCCACGTTCGAGGCCGGCGTCGCCCTGGGGACGATGGCGGTTGGCGGCTTGTACTTGGAGAGCGTCGGTGGTGGGTGGTTGTCGGCGTGGGTGATGCCGGCGGAGATGAAGCCGACACTGCCGGAGAGCATGCTCTGGATGTGGATGGAGTCTTCGCACTCGGATACAAGAGCGCCCTGTCCTCCAGGCAGAAGACGATGGTAGCGACAACACTACATATAATATGCCCGTGATTTAGTTTCCTAATAGGATGGATGCACCTCTGATTAGTTTCATATATAATAGGACGCGCGTGATTTGTTTCCTAATAGAATGCGCGGTGATTATATTCTCCTAATTAACCGGGCGTGTTATTTCATCTGTGGTGATGTATGGTTATTCAATGTAAATTGCTAAGTGCACACATAAAATGAGTTAGATTAAGGCCGGTCATTAGATTGAGTTTAGTGGGCCTAATCATGCGGTGGTAATGGGCCTGTGTTTGTTTTACGTGATATGTTTAATGAAGATTATGTTTGCTTTTTTATAAATAGTAGAGATTCGTCTAGTATTACCGTAGACCTAACTTTTTGATGAAGAATAGTAGAGTTAAATGGACAGTTCAGCCTTTTTAACTCTACAGAATTTCTACGTAAAAACAACTCCACAGAATTTCTATTGGGCACAAAATATATACGTAGAATTTTTCTTTTTGTTTCCAGTGGCGGTTTAATCCGAGACATTGAATTCTCCATCGGACCGTCGACGGACGGCGCAGTTGATCAGCCCTGCCCCTAGTATCCCCAGCCACCCAAACCCCATCATCAAACCGGCGCCAAGAAAACCAGACACCATCCGGCGACGCCATGAAGCACCTCCTCCTCCCCTCCCAGCTCCCTCTCCTCCTCCACGGCCGCGCCTCCAAGCCCCTACTCCTCCACGCCCGCCAGCGCCACCGCCACGCCCCAAGCGCGGCACCCGACGGCAACTCCGGCGACACCTCCACGGCCGAGTCCGAGCCGCCTCCCACGAACACCCAGCCCAGCCCGCCACCCTCCGCGCCTCCGTCCGCCAACTCCGGCACCACCAGCGTCAAGACCCGCCTCCGGTCGAGGAACCAGGCCCGCCGCGTCCAGGAGCCGTACCTGCCCCCGGTGGAGGTGAAGATGATGAGGGGCAAGGGCAAGGCGAACGCTTCCGCGGCGCCGAGGAGGGAGAAGGAGAAGCGGAAGAAGACGTGGGACGAGATGAGTCTCGGCGAGAAGGCCTACGAGCTGTACGTCGGGGAGAAGGGCGCCCTCTTCTGGCTCAACAAGTTCGCCTACGCCTCCATCTTCATCATGGCCGGCGCCTGGATCCTGTTCCGCTTCGTCGGGCCCGCCACCGGGCTCTACCAGCTCGACGCGCCGCCGCTGGCGCCCACGGACGTCCTGCGCGGCTCCTAGCGAGAGCGAGTGCCTAGGTTTCTTGATAGATAGCTCGGCGGGTAAGATAAGGGATGGGTGACCGGAAAAGAAGATCGATGGATAATTGCTGCTTACAATGGCTTCGATGGTATGCTTGTATGTGATTATTATGAAATTATCGTAGATGGATGCATGTATATTGTATTTCCTGGGTAATTTTTGGAGCTAAAGTTTTCACCCTGAATTACTGAACAATTTACACACCACGGAACTCTGTTTCGTTAATGGGGTTTTTGTTGTCATGTAAAATTCGATGTTAATCGGCTCAGACAACTGAACTGATGCAACAATTTGAAGTTGAAGATCATGATGTCAACAACTGTATTACCAAGCAAACAAAATTCCTAAGAAACTCCTCATCATAACACACATGTACACATTCTGAACTTCTCCATGACACAACAACATGGTGATCTCCCTACTGAGAAATGACTGATCAATTCATCGATCAGTTCGTCAACTCAGATGGACCACGAGTTGATCTACACAAAACAGTCAGCTAGCAGTTAACAGGTTAGGATTCAGCAATCGATGAACCGATCAGGTCGACAAGGACTGCGCGACGGAGGACGTGGAGAGGAGCCCGGAGAGGAGGCCGACGATGAGGGCGCTGTTGTACGTGGTGGCCTCGTTCTGCATCACGTTCTGCCGCTCGTCCACGAACGAGTCGTTCTTGAAGGGGCCCCCGACGAGCGCGCCCGCGGCCACGTTCGGGTTGGGGTCCGGCGACTCGAGCCACTCCTGGCCGCCGCAGCCCGTGTTGACGTCCGCCGGGATGGACGCGCCGCGGTGGTGCACCCGCTGCGGGTAGCTGTCGCCGTACCCGACCAGGTAGCTCAGCTTCATCGGGTTGTCCCCCAGCACGTAGTCCGCCTGCCATTGCCAAACATACATCGGTCGCATTCTCAGGCTCTGACAATCTGACTGAAGAAATACTCTGGAAAGTGCACTGACATAGCCATTTCTCTGAACGATTTCTGGGAAGAGCACTGACCTGGGACTGGGCGAACTTGCGCAGGTCGGCCGGCGAGAAGCTCTGCCCGCCGCAGGTGAGCTCCGTCTTGCCCGAGGTGAGCATGTAGTCGCCGTAAACGGCGGCGAGGAAGGCGGAGGCCACGGGGTGCTGGAGCGAGTTCCAGTCGGCCACATACAGCAACCCACCTTCCGTTCTGAACGCGGCGGTTTCGGAGTCCGGCAGAAGGATGCACATGACGGCGTCGGCGGTCTGCTTGTACGACTCCAGGCCTTCGTTGTCGTCGGCGACATCGGCCCCCTGCGACGCGAAGAAGCTCACCCTCGACAGGAGGACCTGGGTGCCCGGGCGCTTGTCGTCCCAGCTGAAGTAGCGGGGGTTGCCGAGGTCGGCGAAGTCCTCGCCGTTCTTGCCGGTGGCGTAGGCGAGGTAGCTGCCGTTGCCGGTGGCGTGGAAGAGCCAGCCGCTCGCCCACAGCAGCTCGTCCTGGTACGTGGTGGAGTTGTAGTACTTGGCGAGCTCCGGGAAGGTGCGCGTGTAGGCGGCCCTGTGCCGGTCCGCGAACGCGAAGAGCTGCTCCGCGTGGCCCAGGAGGGACGACGAGTAGGGCGCGTCGATGGGCTTGTAGACCAGCGACGCCGCGGCCATCGCCGCCGCCGTCTCGGCCGCCACGTCGCTGCCGGGGGAGTTCGCGGTGATCTTGGTCAGCGGCCGCTTCTCCGACATGGTCTCCGGCCTCTCCCAGCACTTGTGGTCCGCTTCAGGGTCGCCTACCTGGTCGATGAGCACAACAAGTCAACAACACATGTGTATATCCCTCTTCACAATCGGTTCTTCTGAAATTCGCATATGCATTTTGCAAGTTTTTGTCATCCACGTCAGTCCTGAACTATTTTGCACGACGGTCCAGTTCGAATTGTTCGCACTTTTGTCAGATTAATTAATATAAGCTTTTGAGGAGGAATATATTTGTAGTTTTTAAGCTGATCATATAGCATCAATTGGTCCTATGGTCTAGTGGTTAGGACATTGGACTCTGAATCCAGTAACCCGAGTTCAAGTCTCGGTAGGACCTTGTTTTTTTTTTGCTTGGCTTTCTTACTCTTTTCCGTCTTGTTTTTTTTGTTTGCCTTTTGTATCTTACTATTTTCTGTCTAAAAATTAAGAACTTCGAAATGATATGGTTAGAGAAACAACTACTTTTTCCTGTTTAAATATCAAGAACTTCAAAATCATATGGTCGAGAAACAACAAACAAAAGAGTTCGCTGAATCTGATTATCCAAGAAGATGCACAGTAACCTGAAATCCATCTCTTCTAAATTTTCTTTTCCGTCTAAAAATTAATAACTTTAAAATGATATGGTCAGAGAAACAACTACCTTTTCTGTCTAAAAAGTAAGAACTTAATAATGATGTGGTCAGAGAAACAACAAAAAAAGAGTTCGATGAATTTGATTATCCAAGAAGGTGTGCGGTAACCTGAATTCCATCTCTTCTAAGTTCTGGTGGAGGGCAGCCGATGGCGAGCTGAAAGTCCACTGGATGGCCTTGGATTAAATGTGTAGAAGGAAGTGAGGTGGGGAATGTGTTTTAGAGATTTCAAGATATTTAATCAAGCCCTCCTCACTAAACAAGTTTGACGTATTCTGATGGTTCCTAGTTCACTTTGTGCAAGATTTCTTAAGGCTCACTATTTCCACTGGATGGCCTTGGGTTAAATGTGTAGAAAGAAGCGAGGCGGGGAATGGGTTTTAGAGATTTCAAGATATTTAATCAAGCCTTCCTCTCTAAACAAGTTTGACGTATTCTGATGGTTCCTAGTTCACTTTGTGCAAGAGTTCTTAAGGCCCACTATTTCCACTGGATGGCCTTGGATTAAATGTGTAGAAGGAAGCAAGGCGGGGAATGGGTTTTAGAGATTTCAAGATATTTAATCAAGCCCTCCTCTCTAAACAAGTTTGACGTATTCTGATGGTTCCTAGTCATTTTGTGCAAGAGTTCTTAAGGCTCGCTATTTTGAGGACATGGACGCGAGGCCGACGTCCCAAACAAGATGAAGATACATGTGTGGTGAATGATTTGGGATGGTTTAGCTGTAGGAATTGAACTACACATGCGCATGATTAAACCGAGGATATTTTGTGCCAATTATGCATCAATTCTGGCGTTGTCCTCATTCTGTTCATTTTTGGAAACTGCTATGTGATGAGGTTGTGGCGCCAGAGCATCCACAATGTGCAGTTTTGTTGTGGGCATCGATAAGTCCTCTGTCCTACTACAGGTGATGCGACAACCTTTACTAAGTCCAAACGATTTTCAACTACCAGATCCGCTGGTCCGCTATATTCACGCCCACAAGCACAAATCTTCGACGCGGAATATAATCCTAAAGCTTTTGAAATGCTTCTAATAACCAATGAATGGCAAGTGATCTTCTTTGTTTAGATCATATTTCAATCGGAACTTTCCGCGTCGATCTTTTTTTATTACGTCTTGTTTTTACTCCTATATTGGGAGTTACTCTACGTATTGCTTGACGTAAAACATTGGACAATTTATTTGTGAAAATGTATGTCTATTTAAATCGCACATAAAAAAATCTGGTCAAAATTTCATTGTAAATATGAATTCCTTTGTTATAAGAGCAGCTAAACCTTATTTGGCCACTACAGGAGCAACTGGTAATGGTCATTATGGAGAAATTCTTTACAAGGGAGATAGGTTAGTTTCTATAGTTGTCTCTAAGCTTGAGGCTGCCTCTATACATTGCATGGAGGTGCCTCTAACAAAAAATCCTTAGCATCGCCTCCAAGCTAAGAGACTGCCTACAAGCTTTTGTTTCAACTAAAGTATTCATCTGTCCCTATATGTCATCCCTGTTTTTGTGTGACCGATGTAGAGGATGAACTAAAATGCCATACATTGCAGCGTTTTGGCTAATCTTAGAGGCAGCAATGTCGACCCAGTATTTTTGTCAGATTAATTAATAAGCTTTTGAGACGGAACATATTTGTAGGCTTTAAGCTGAATATATAACATCAAATGGTACTATGGTTTAGTGGTTAGGACATTGGACTCTGAATCCAGTAACCCGAGTTCAAGTCTCGGTAGGACCTTATTTGTTTTGTTTGGCTTTTGTATCTTACTCTTTTCCGTCTAAGAATTAAGAACTTCGAAATGATATGGTCAGAGAAACAACTACTTTTTTCTGTTTAAATATCAAGAACTTCAAAATCATATAGTCAGAGAAACAAAAAAAAAGAGTTCGTTGAGTCTGATTATCCAAGAAGAAGTGCGGTAACACGAAATCCATCTATTCTAAATTTTCTTTTCCGTCTAAGAACTAAGAACTTCAAAATGATATGGTCAGAGAAACAATTACTTTTTCTATCTCGAAATCAAGAACTTCAAAATGATGTGGTCAGAGAAACAACAAAAAAAGAGTTCGCTGAATCTGATTATCCAAGAAGATGTGTGGTAACTTGAATTCCATCTCTTCTAAATTTTGGTGGATGGCAGCCGATGGCGAGTAGAAAGTACAATGGATGACCTTGGATTAATTGCGTAGAAGGAAGCGAGGTGGGGAATGGGTCTAAGAGATTTTAAGATATTTAGGCCCTGTTTGGATCCTCTCCACTCCCCAACTGCAGCTCCCGGAGCGGAGGGAGCGCCAACATAATTGCAGGGAGCGGCTCGAACCCAGCTCCTCACGCGGAGTGGAGTTATGAGACTGGAGAGCTTCCGAACATGCAGTTAAGCCAGCCCTGCACTCTAAACAAGTTTGACGTATTCTGATGGTTCCTAGTTCACTTTGTGCAAGAGTTCTTAAGGCTCACTATTCTGAGGACATGGACACGAGGCCAACGTCCCAAACAAGATGAAGATACATGCGTGGTGAATGATTTGGAATGGTTTTAGCTGGAGGAATTGAACTGCATAGGCGCATGATTAAAACGTAGATATTTTGTGTCGTGTGTGGCAGAGAAGATGCCATTACGTATCAA